ATAGTGGGATTGACCGAAGCATTATAACGCTTCCACGGCTGAAAGGTGTGACGGGGATCGAACCCACGACCCTCAGATTGCGAGTAGAGCGCCCTAACCACCTGGCCATGCCGGGCCGCGGTTACTTTCAGCAGACCACCTGATTCTTAACGACACTCTCAGAAAAAATAAATGTGTTATGTAGCTTTACCTGGAAATAATATCAAATTAAGAATATAGTAATAAAACAAACAAAAAAAAAATAGTTGGAACTTTTTAAAAAAATAACATTAAGCTCTTTCAGAAAACTACAGATCGATTAGCGCAAAGCACATTTTGATATTATTTAATATCTCCAGCTAAACTATTTTCATAATTCAATACCTTAATATAAGATTCTCTGATTAAATTATTCAACAAACATAGTTTAAAATGAATTGTCTAGTTTTATTCTTAAAAACACAGGAATTAATAAAAACTATTGGAACTTGTTTCGTTTGCATAAAAGTTATTTTTCTCCCCCGGTGAGTCAGTGGTAAGTTTACGGACTTCGGTTTCCCGCGGTGGACACACCACACCAGAGAGCCCAGTGTGGCTTTGCTATAAAACAAACACACTTAACCCCATATTACTCACCTGAATTATCATTAAAGTAGATTCTGTCTTGTAAAGACTGGGAAATATTTATTAAAACTTCATGGTGTTAATGGTATGAGTCATCGAATTAAATTAAATCCAATTAAACGTTTTCTAATGTTTAGTTGGTAAAAGTCTTCGGAGTGAAGCCAGGAAATGTTATTGGTAGTCTAGGCTCACTTCTTGAACGTTATTTGTCTCTCTGTATTCCAATTAAGTAAATCGAAGGTACTATATATAAAACAATGAAACCCTACTACGGATTTCCTGGATGAACCCTAATCTGCTGGGAATTAACTTCTTTTTTTTTTTACGCTGGATAAATCTTAATTAACTGACGAATTATACACATACATATATATCTATATAACTATGCTCTTTCTATGTTCGTTTCTATAACTGACGGGGCCCGGAATGGTCAGGTGGTTAGGGCGCTCGACTCGCAATCTGCGGGTCGCGGGTTCGAATCCCCGTCACACCAAACATGCTCGCCCTTTCAGCCGTGGGGCGTTATAATTTACGGTCAATCCCACTATTCGTTGATAAAACAGTAGCCCAAAAGTTGACGGTGGGTAGTGATGACTAACTGCCTTCCCTCTAGTCTTACACTGCTAAATTAGGGACGGCTAGCGTGTAGCTTTTTGCGAAATTTAAAACAAATAAACAAACAAACTATAACTGACGGAACAATTAATATGTTGCTCTAATTGTATTTACAATTTTATTTGGATAATACCGACCAAGTAAACACATACCAGTGGAATTTTGTAAAAGCAACAAATGGTCAAATATTAACAATATAACTATCTTTCTTAGTACAATTGCAGTATTAATCATGAAAGTTGTGTATGAGCTACTTAGTTATGAACAGATGTATTGTACATCTCTTGAGCACATCTTCTAATGAACTATGAAAAAATCTAGTTTTTCTTGGTTTGTTGTAAATCGAATAAGAATGACTTCACAATATGAAATATTTGTTTTGAAAGCAATCAGCTTCATCCTACTAGAGTTCTATGTTTAATGTTGTTGGTCATTAAAGCTTCAAAATGGGCTCATTTTAAAAATAGATTTCCTGTTTGACTGCACTTTGCACAACAAAAGAGTTTCACATTACATATTAATTATATGCTTGCATATATATTTAACTGCTTGTACCGCGAATGCCTCCAAAGCGGCAGCCACTGGTCCCATACTTCAAGGACATCTTTTAGTTTACTACAATAACAAAAGTGTTTACTTTAGAGAAAGGAATTAAGCGTTGGCGAGCATCTTGTTATTTCACACATAATGTAATAGTGACATGCAGCTGCCATGCCAATCTTCTAAAAAGGTTTATAAAGTCGAACTTAATTAAACCCGTACTCTGTTGATTTGTATGTAGATAAGAGCATTACCATGTTGTTGTACCGTTCCAAATTTATTACTACATTCAAGCTTATTTGCAGTGAAATTCACTAAAGCGTCTGCTTATTCGAACTCTTATTAAATTTAGTTATGTTTGTTTTTTGTACATTAGTACAAAGCTACACAATGGGCTTTATGTGTTGTGCCCGCCACGAGTAACGAAACCCGGTTTTTAGCGTTATTAACTTTCAGAATTACCACTGAGCCACTGTGGGGGAGGTATTAAATTTCGAACGTACATTTTTATGTAAACGTTAACAGCTTAACATTGGAGGTGACACAACGAAACGGGATTTACCTTTTCAAATAGAGATGTCAACATTTGGATTGAATATACAATTTATTTTGTGTAATTGGCAGGTCGTGGCTTAGTAGTTGGTATGCTCGCCTCTGTTTGATTTACTGTTCGTGATCTGTTGCCGCAAAAACGCGTTCCGTAATGACGAATAATTCCCATTATTCACTCAGATAAGAGTAGCCCAAGATTTGTCAGTTAGTGCTGTTGCCTAGCTGCATTTCCTCTTGCCTATCAGTTCCAAATAAGGAACAACAATGCGTAGATTTTCCGTGTGTAACTTTGTGGGAAATTTTGAAACAAACAAAGAAGTAAAATCTTCTGTAACTCGTAAAATAAAACTACGTCTTGAATAATCAATAAATACTGACCTTTTATCGTTATTATTTTTCAGCTCTAACAGTTCGATTCATTACCAAGAGGTTTATCGGTGATTACGACCCGACTCTGGGTAAGTAGTTATTTTGTTTGTCTACTCTTGATATTTTATTTTTCACGTTCTACATAATGTTTTTAGTTTGTTGACTTAATGTTTTATATATTGACTAACGTAATGATGTTATGACAGACGTATCGGTATTAATGCTATTCATAATTGGAAAGGGAATATTTAAAAGAATCACCAGTGTTCTCTCCCTCCTCCACAGCAATGTGTTCATCGCACATGAGCTGTTCCTGGGGCACGTGGGCGATTTTTGCCTCTGGCCTTAGTGTTCGTGAATTCTCAATTATTACAAGACGCCCCATTTTGCTTAACTCTGGTTGGGTACGATTTATTGCATCCCTCTTATTTGATGGTCCTATGTCCAAACTTCATTCATATGCCTTTGTTTTCCAATTCTATTGAGTGCAAATATACCCTAGTCTTCGATCTGAGCACATCTTTATGATCTGAGTATATGAATATTTTGCGTTGGAAAGGACTGTTACATAATTTTCCCAAAGTGATCTGTTTTCGACAGCATCACATTACCTCCGTTTCGGTTTGTTTATTGTTAAGCACAAAGCTACATTATGAGTTCTCTGTGCTTTGCCCAATGTAGGTATCGAAACTCAATTTTTATCTGTATAAGCCCCGAGTTTTACCAGTAAGCCTCCGTGGGGCCATTACTACATAACACCAAACAATATCAAAATGTAGTTCTTATACAATCTGTTCCACCACGACTTTATATTGGTTGTTGATGTCACGTGGCCTACTGATTTGCGTGTTTCAAATCGTATCAGTATAACGGACTCAACGCTATGTATTAGGTCGTCAAGAAATTAATGTCGCGTTTTTGAAACACTTTCATTAACCACTCCCCAAATAACGTACATCACGTATAATAGTTAAACGAACCGCCTAAACGTCACGTTAGTGTAGCCTATATAAAGTCTAAAGTTTAATATACCCTAATCCGTTATAATGGTGGCACACGACGAGACACACATTTGGCAATGTAATGCTATTTGAATATAATAAGGGAAACAACGCCTCTGTAGCCACAAAGAATATCAAAGAAATTTATGGAATTGTTTTGAGTTCGTAAGTGTCAACGATGGTTCAGCAAACTTCGTTCAGGTGACTTTAGCCGTAAAAACTGTGATGGCAGGGGCCGACATGTTAGA